TCTCACACTCTCTCTCTCTCTCTCTCTTTTTCTCCCCCCCTCTCCCTCTCCCTCTCCCTCTGTCTAATGTATGTTTTTATGAAACATTATCTAAAGTAAATATTATTATAATAAATTTCAATAGCCAACTACATTAACCAGCCTGAAGTTCTGTTGAATTTGGATCTGTTCTAGATTATAAGCTATACTCCAACTGCACAGTGTGACCAGCAATAGTGAATATGCACACTACATACTTTTTCCAACATAACCACACCTTTATATGCAACAGAATTCACAATATTCACAGAACTAAATATATTGTTTACAGTATGATGCAGACTATACACTTAGAGAATTCTAAGATAGTGAGTATATCTGTTCATTATGTGACATGTACAAAAAGATACACAGTTACTTCCAAACCAACTCTCTTTTTACAAGGAAGCATAATGTTACACATCTTTTAGGCTCGCACCACATCCCCCAGAGAAGAAAAACAAAGACGACTGGAACTACATGTACGGAACCATCCCGCAGTTCATCCTGGACAACGAGAGTGAGGAGATCCTGCATTTGCACAAAACAAACATGGAATTGGTAAGCTAACATTGTGTTGATTTTCTGAGAAATTTTCAGCATTTTGTTTTTTAACTTTATTCCTTTCAATTTCTTCTTATTGTCAATGTTGTTTTGGTTATTGTTACTATAATTGCTGTTATTATTACAGACCTGGAGGAAATTAAAGCAATTAGGCCTTTAGCCACATCCACATTGTTGTTCTTTTACTTCTATTTTTACTTTTACTTCTTACTTACATACTTGCTTACTTTGCATATTTATTGAAACAAAAAATAACATCTCAAAAGGATGAGGTACATTTTCCCCAAGGTCAGTTAAAATCAATCTTCATATTTTGTGTTTCCCTTTCAATTGAGTGATGTCCATGTGAGTGCCGTGGTTTTAAGTTGAAAGTTTATGAATTTTATACCAGCCAGTGCCCTATTCAACAGATCAGTTATGGGTAGCTTACTGCCATAAACTGGAATTGAATATCAGCTTCTGGAGGTCTCTGGTCCTGGTCCAAGAAGATCTCTTATGAGCATTTCTCAATACTGTTTTCTTCTTTTTACTTGTTGGGATCATCAATCCCCTTTGGATTGTAAATCCTTACTTTTAATTCTCTCCTTCATTTTGAATTATTATTGTATGTGTATGCACCTATCTTTATTATTATTCTGTCTTCTTTGGTACTGAGGAGTGGAGGCATGCAAGTTGGCCATCAGCCTGCCCTTAAGGGTGCCTTATACCATTGATATAGGTTAAGGCTTAGGGGGACCGTCGCACTCGAGAATGAAGTTTGTCAATTAGGATCAGATTTTCGTAATTTTTTAATATGTTATACATACATATGAAGTGATAAACAACAAGAAGTTTCATGTCATTTGGATAGTAAATAATGAAGTTATTTTTGAACAATCACAATTTTTTTTTTAATCGTACTTATCCATTGAACAAACTTGTTGAAAAAAATACCACCTACACACTATAGCCATACCTAAAACTTGCAAAAACAAGAGTTTTTAATTTCCTCTTAGTTTAGTGGAAATTTATTTTTTTCTAAATGTTCAGTCTTATGAACATCAAGATATAATATATGGACTCCTATTACCTAAAATGAAAATTGTCTCTAACAAAAACATCACAAGTTTATTCAGCTTTCAAATGATCCAAACCTCTTTAGAATCATCCAAGTAGTTATGGAGTCTAAAAAAAATGTAGTTTTGTGATTTCTGGGCTCCGAATTTCAGAATACTTTTTCCTCTTTTGTGCGTGCGTGCGTGCGTGCATGCGTGCGTGCGTGCGTGCATGCGTGCATGCGTGCGTGCGTGCATGCGTGCGTGCGTGTGTGTGTGTGTATGTGTGTGTGTGTGTGTGTGTGTGTGTGTGTTAGAATTCTTATGGTATTGTGAAGTGTAGCAGGGACCTGGTCCCCCCATTTAGCAAAGTACACATGGCAAAAACCATATGATTATAGAAGTAGCGTGTGTCATCACAAGTTTTGCAGTGCCTAACCTTTTTTTTAACTCATATTAATCTATATATCATGCTTCCCTTCATGTACTCAGCTACCCCCTTCTCCCACACAGGAAAAACGCAAAATTGGCATGCAGAATGGCTACACACAGTATGTCAAGTGCAGACCTGTCCCCTGTAAGGAGAGTGTGAGGCTGATCAAGGAAAGAGAATTGCTTAGTGTCATTGGTCATCACCCTTTGCTCGTGCAGAACACAGATGCGGCAGAGATGGATGCCAAACGCCTTGAGATGCTGCAGAAACTGAAGACACTCACACCAAAAATTGTAAGTTCTTTCCTTCTTTTACTTCTCCTTTCCATCACCATCATCATTAACACTCACTATCACTGTCATCACTATCATCATTTGCTCCATCTTCTATGTCTGCTGAAGTTTTTCTCTTGACTATATGACCCCCCCTAAAAAATAATAATAATAATAATAAAGAATAAAATAAAATAAATAATAATAATGATGATAAATAAATGAATAAAAAGTTAAAGCATAAAAACCTCTCACCTAGAAGTACATATTTCCACCTGAAGCATATGAAAGTAGTTTTAGAATATGTTCTATTGCATATGCATGTAGTGTTCCATGGAAAGCTAAGAAAACACTCATGAAATTGAATATCCATTGGCTTGTTACAATTAGCAAGCCTTGCTGGAAAGTCATTTGTAATAAAGAACATAAAGCTTCTCAGTTTCACTTATTAACCCCAAAAGGATATGTACACTATATTGAGCAATTACCTGGTGAGGACGCATGCCAAATTTTATCTAGTACCCACTGGACACTAATGATTAATGTGGAGTTTTCAGGTTTCATAAAATAGATTTTGATGAGTTTTCTTTTTCTTTTTCTTTCTTTCAATCTATCTTCCTTTTTTCTTTTCTTTTCTTTTCTTCTTGAATGAGAGTGAGTGTTTATTGATCTGATGGTCCACATCTGCATCACACAAGACTGTCCTTTTAATAGGTTGAGGTGCACAGTGATCTTAGGCCTATATGTAATATATATATAGAGGAAAAAGTAATAATATTAAAGCAGTGGAATATATGAAACAAATTTTATTTTATAAAGCAATTAAAGCAAAGATTTTGTATGTTCTTGATTATGCTGCTTGTATTCCAGACTGTCTTTGAGATGAGCAAGAATAAGTCTGAGTTCAAGTCCAAGGTACTGTCCAACATGCAGGAAAAGAGGGAACATGATGAAGCCCGTATCAAGGCCTTCCAAAAGACCCTACAGGAGAAGAAAGAAGCAAAGGAAGAGAAGGACGCAAGTGCAAAGGAGGTAGGCTGTTAGATAGCTGTTGGATCAGATGTTTAGCCATTCAGTGGATGGGCAGAGTGTCTGGTACTTTATAAGGAGACTGGGTACTCCTTACATGTATGACTTCAAGAAATTCAAAGACTTTCAGACAGAAAAGCAGTCTGACAAGTTCACCCATTGACACCAGGTTGAAGGCTTTATAAAATATTGGATTAAATTCCAGTGCATGGCTTCATGATCCTTCCAACATTTGCTGCTCCTTGGCATTTGACCACTGTCAGTCTCCTGTATGGGCTGATTCATTCCTGTTTCCATTGATGATAGTCTTTACTGTTTGTTTGTTTTCCAGAGATTATTGTCAGCCAGTTTGGTATACCTCCACTTATTTCTGCATCATGAATGTTAAAAACAAATGAACCAGTGCACCAAGAGGATCTTAGGTAGAGATTTTTGTGTGGATTTACTAAGCTTTTGGAAAAAGATCATTCAAAGTAACATTTCTTAAAATCCTTTCATAATTACAGAGTTTTGAGAGAGTGCAGAAGTTGGAGCAAAGCACAGCTGAGGAGGTTGAGGACACTTTTGCCAATGTCAGGAATGCGAAAAAGTATAAGAACAAGAAAGCCAGGTCTGAGAGTCAGGACACCTTCATTGAAAAGGAAAAAGAAGACTTCAGAGATAAGCAGTTCTACATTCCTTACACACGAGGAGAGCTTGAAAATTCAGATGGGTATGTAGGCTGTGATGTTGGACACTGTATTTCTGCTTTGAAACAGTTTTCTATACAATCATAACACAAATATCATGGAAATGGTGGTAACAAAACCTATGAATTGAATGTTTATATTTTATATATTTAGTAAAACTCTGCACAAGATAGTCACCAATTATTTTCATTACATAACCAAGCAGAAGGATAATGCAGAAAGTTGGAAAAACATCAGACCATAATACGTACAGTAGAATGACACTAACATTATACCCAAAAATAAGATAACATTAATGATCTATAAATATCCAACAGAGCATATACTGGCTAGTAATGATATTCATGTTCAGTATTTTTTATCATATTGTTAAATGATCAACATATCCTTCAATTTTATTCTAGGTGTTTGTAAGAATACCAAATATGTCAATGTCATTTGACAGTTTTGTAAGTAATAGAAATTTCTCTTGCAGTGCTGGAGTAGGCAGTAGTTTCCATAAAGACACAGCCGAGGCAGCAATGGATCTCACATTTGATGATGAAGAGACACAGAGACAGAGCAAATCATTCATGAGATGGGATCGTAAAAAGAAAAAGTTCGTCGGAGTGCAAGTGAGTTTCTGTTTAGGACATCTAACATTTCTTATTCTATTTTAAAGTACCCTCCCACCAAAATGTGTGTGCTTGCATCTGTGTGCCCCTGCGTGCATGTGCACCCACTTGTTTGCATATACTGAATTACACATACCCCCTTTTTTGCTTTCCTTTCTTCTTTCCAGGACATTAGAATACATAGAACACAATGACCTCCCTTTTTCAAGAAGTAATTTGTTCACTTTTAGACAGCCTGTGTTGGTTTTGGATATGGAAGTCAATCAGTTATGTTAGTTTACCTTATTTATGTGTTTAGCAGTTAAAAGCAAAACAAGCTTGTTAATGAGATAAAATCATATGCATTTACATTTATATTGTGTATTTGTGTGTAATTTCAGAATGAAAAGAGGATCAAGACAGAGTCAGGTCAGTCTATAAGTGCAACGTACAAGACAAACCGATACAAGAGGTGGCTGAAGACAGGCAGGCAGCACAAGGAAGTTGATGAAGAAGAAGAAGCCGAGCAAGCCAACACAAGGGAGGGAAGGAAGGCAGGAGGCGTGAAGAGTAAGTTGTGTTGCTTTTTTTGTTATGTCTCAGTCTGGCAGTCTCTTTTGCTTATACAGTTTTGAAGTTTGTGTTATAGACTGCCAGTAACTAATACCTCTCCTTTACAGCTCTGAATGAAAAGTCGTTCGGCAAGCACCATCCACTGATGGAGGGCAAAATTCCAAAGTACAAGAGAGGACCGAGGATAGAACTGAGATCGGAGGAACGATTCCAGAAGAACATCAAGAGAGAGAGATGAGAACTTCAAGAAGGCCAAGCAAGGAAGAAGGAAGAACCAATTGGCATTGAGGCAGAAACTGAAGCAGCATCGTAAGATGTTGAGGTTTCAGAGACAGGGAATTCATTACTCTATGGATGGGGATTTATAGATTTTAGGATTGTTATGTGTTTAATAAAATGTCTATAAGGAGTAACTTCCCTTTTTTATCCTCTGAATTAATTTGTTTGTAAATATTTTCATGTTGACAGTTTGGAATAAAAAGCCCATTGAAAGGTGCTCTCAGTCAAGTTCACAATGTTTATCAAATGTTATGTTAGCTCTAACTTTTATCTATAAATGTTGCATCATTAAGTGCCATAGACATAAACATCATGATGATTATATTATAGATAAAAGTTTAAACAAAGTGTTCTGAAAACACTTGTATGTGTTATTTTTGTATACTCAAATATAGTTTGTGAGGAAGCTGTATAGAATTTTTGTCTTCAAATATATGATAAAAGGAACAAGAACCACACCTTTTCATTATTTAAAAAACTGCACTGACTTACTAGACAATTAAGAGCTCCAATTTTTATCAATTAGAGTAAAGGAATTTAAAATATAGAATGTTTAGTGAAATACATGTTTCATATAAAGGATTACGGTATGATTCACACGAAAGATGGCTTCTAATTTTATGCCTTTTTCATCTCACTGATGATTTTGTTCAATGGAAGATAAATTTGTTTTAAATTACTGCAGGTATATATTTTGGATTAAGCTTCAGACATTCAAAATTGAATTTCAGGCTTTTTAAGTTTTAGATATTAGGGTTAATGGACAATGTCTTTTTTTCAATATGCAAGACCTCGGAAGTTCATGTAGTACTATAGGCAAGCATTGTATCGGAAAGGGTGATGATGATGATTATGTGCCACAAGTCAAGTTGTACTGCAGATGGATTGGAATTGGAAAGAATAGAAAGGGGTAAAGGCGGAGAGGATGAGTAAATGGGTTAGGAATTAATTTGTACAACGAAGATGATGCCTTTTTTTAACGAGAGGAGGGCTGTTAACTAGGATGCCTCTCTGGTAACGAGAGTTGTTCTGAGCAGTACGCTTCGGTCGTGAAGTTCTCGCAATGGCTGTATAGGCTGCATTTAGAATATTGACTGTAAAGTATAGAAGCAAGTCTGAAGTGGAAGAAAAGGATGGAAGATCAAGGTTGGATCTAGAGAGGTAAATGTATCTGCTTTGTCAAAGTGAGGGGGGCTGGGGAGTGAGACATAGGAAGTAGAAAGGAGAGTAAAGTCATCTCAATAGTGTTGGTCTAGAGGGAAGAGCAAAAAGAAAGCCATGAAAAGGATTGGGTGCATTTGTCAGTGGGTCTGAATTTAGGAGGATAAGGTCAGTATTTGAGTGTTCTAAGGAGCGACCTTGGGAAGTAATCGAATGGAGTCACCCCAGTTAAGGGTGGCGAGTTAAAATCTTATTTCCCCCCAACTCCAATCACCTTTCCTCATAGGTAAAACTTCAAAGGTTGCGATATCCAGCGGCAGAGAAAAATGCAAATAGTTGTGCAAGATATAGGGATTTGTAAGGGAGGTATGATATGGGTTTTTATGGATAGGTATGGGAGGAGGCCAATAGAGTGAGGGGATGGTACAAAATCGTAATCGAGGCGAAAGCCAAGACCGGGGTGATCACCTACTGCGGGCTTGTCTCCGTTTTAAGCCCACCCACTGCAAGGGATTAGGAAGTTTTACTAAGAAGTATCTAGGAGGGTTGTAATGAACAGTATGTATTGATTTTAAAGTTTAGCCAAGATCTCTCCCTTTTCAAGCCTAATTAAGCAACCGCAAACTTTACCTTTCCAGTTAATACAGCCTGCCTTTTCAGTATGGTATGCCTGCAAGCTGCCAATTAGTGCTTCATGTGACATACAAATTAAAATTATCAGGATCACATTGACAAGGTACTGGAAGTAAATTTGAGGCTACTGTATGAAGTGATCCACCTTTAACTCTTCCTTATTGGCATCTATAATAGTTCGTTAGACCCGTGTTAACCTTTAATGTTAGCCTTAAAATCCTGTGTTGTATCTACTTGAACTTTAAATATTCTTGCATATTTAAGTAAAACTGTTCAAGGCTATACAAAAACTGAATAAGAGAATTGGTTTTATTTTTGGACAGAATGTGAAGAATGGAATGTGTTGGTCGATCTAGTACTCGTCGCCCTCAGCCTCGCCCTCGGCGTCGGCGGAGTCGACTCCGACCTCTTCGTAGTCCTTCTCAAGGGCAGCCAAGTCCTCGCGGGCCTCGGTGAACTCGCCCTCTTCCATGCCCTCGCCCACGTACCAGTGCACGAAGGCGCGCTTGGCGTACATCAGGTCGAACTTATGGTCGAGGCGCGCCCAGGCCTCTGCGATGGCCGTGGTGTTAGACAGCATGCAGACGGCGCGGGACACCTTAGCCAGGTCGCCGCCGGGAACCACGGTGGGTGGCTGGTAGTTGATGCCCACCTTGAAGCCTGTGGGGCACCAGTCGACGAACTGGATGGAGCGCTTTGTCTTGATGGTGGCGATGGCGGCGTTGACGTCCTTGGGCACGACGTCGCCACGGTAGAGCAGGCAGCAAGCCATGTACTTGCCGTGGCGCGGGTCGCACTTTACCATCTGGTTGGCGGGCTCGAAGCAGGCGTTGGTGATCTCCGATACGGAGAGCTGCTCGTGGTAGGCCTTCTCGGCCGAGATGACGGGGGCGTATGTGACCAGAGGGAAGTGGATCCTGGGGTAGGGCACCAGGTTGGTCTGGAACTCCGTAAGGTCCACGTTGAGTGCGCCGTCGAAGCGGAGGGAGGCGGTGATGGAGGACACGATCTGGCCGATGAGGCGGTTCAGGTTGGTGTAGGTGGGGCGCTCGATGTCCAGGTTGCGGCGGCAGATGTCGTAGATAGCCTCGTTGTCGACCATGAAGGCGCAGTCGGAGTGCTCGAGTGTCGTGTGCGTGGTCAGGATGGAGTTGTAGGGCTCGACGACGGCGGTGGCGACCTGCGGCGCCGGGTAGATGGCGAACTCAAGCTTGCTCTTCTTGCCGTAGTCGACGGAGAGGCGCTCCATGAGCAGCGAGGTGAAGCCGGAGCCAGTGCCGCCGCCGAACGAGTGGAAGATGAGGAAGCCCTGCAGCCCAGTGCAGTTGTCTGCCAACTTGCGGATGCGGTCCAGAACCAGGTCCACGATCTCCTTGCCGATGGTGTAGTGGCCACGAGCATAGTTGTTGGCGGCGTCCTCCTTGCCGGTGATCAGCTGTTCGGGGTGGAACAGCTGGCGGTACACGCCCGTGCGGATCTCGTCTGTGGGGGGAAGGGGGTCCGTTAGGCTTTCGGTCCTTGAAACTATTCGCAGGCATCAAGTCAACTATTCAACATTCTACAGGTAAATCTACTCCAACAATGGGGGGGGGGGGGGCTTACCAATTACGGTGGGTTCCAGGTCGACGAAGACGGCGCGGGGCACGTGCTTGCCGGAGCCGGTTTCGCTGAAGAAGGTGTTGAAGGAGTCGTCGCCGCCGCCAATGGTCTTGTCGGAGGGCATCTGGCCGTCGGGCTGGATGCCGTGCTCCAGGCAGTACAGCTCCCAGCAGGCGTTGCCCATCTGGGTGCCGGCCTGGCCCACGTGCACGGAGATGCATTCACGCTGCGGAGAAACGGAATATTAACCAAAGGAAATAAATTAGGGAACAAAGAATAAAACAATGAAATCGGCTGTTTCGTCTATTGAAAAGGCCTACGGAGGCAGTTTTAGAAAGTTGTACAAAAAGAACCCAAATCCCACCCCTACAGCTCCACCATCTTATCCACAAACGGAAGTGCTTCGCCCAAGAAAGTCCCCCGCGCGCCAGCTGGCCTTCCTCCCTGGCCACCCGTCGGCGCCCCTCGCCTTCCGCCGCGGTTCAACGCTCGTCGCGCCGGCCGCTTGCTCGGCCATTTCCTCTTACTGTCTTCGGAGATTCTCTTATCCATAAGATTTACTAATACAGCAGATTGCTTTTAACTCCCACAAATTGCATCACAAAACGTATTCCCTACCGAAGGAAATTCGAAAGGTTTCAGACAAAAAAAAAAAAAAAAAAAAAAAAAAAAAAAAACGCGGCAAATATCAAAAGACCACTTGTTATAAAGACGAAAACTCCAGTCAGTCAACTAATGAACAAATCTAGAAAAAAAAAAAAGATTCCCGCCGCCTTCCACGTGGAGTCTGGAAGAGGGCGCGGTCGCCTTTGTTCACTCGCCGCGCCTCTCGTTCAATCGCAATTTACTCTTATTTCGGGTTTTGAGATAGTTTTGGGGGTTATTTTCTCCCTTTCGATTCGTCAATAATGCGCTGGTTTAGCGGGGATTGGCTCTTAGGTTTATCACTTCATATCTTCGGTAAAGTAGGGATGGAAAATATTACTCAACTACGTTGTTCCGCATTGGTTTTCTAAGCATATATCTTCCCACAAGCGATTTCTCACTTTTAGAATGTCGAAAAAAGGCGTATTTTCTGCACTTACCATTTTGTTGAATGTAGTTTGTAGTTAAGAAACGGGAATAAAAAATGCCGCAGCTAAGGATCACAAGGAGCCGTATATGATGCCCTCGCGAGTCCTACTATTCAAACTTTCGCCGGTCCGGGATATATATAGGCGACGTGACGTCATAGGACGATCTCTCTTCTGATTGGTCGGGCCTTTGCGGCTCGCTCTCTGATTGGTGGAAAAGTGGCGCGAACAAGCCGGCGAGGCGACAAGGCCAAGATGGCGATGAACTTCATTTTTCGCCGACTCAGTTTTTTCAACATTTTCGTTCTTTTTAACCTTTAATGATGATATGTATGATTGGACAATGGTTTAGCAATGTTCTAAGAGATCTCTTCTTCCATCCAGTTTATGTTACTGAGTATAACGTATCGTAAGACGGGGGAAAATAACCGAAGAAAAAAAATAATCTGTAGGTGAATGACAGTCGATGGAGTTCGGATAATCGCATAATGGCGAGAGCATGGTGAACTATTAACGTGAAATTCCTAATCTTTTCCCCAGAAATTATACATATTCAACCTTTCTCATTATACACATTCAAGAAAGACCTCCAGAGAGGATCATCATCACCGAAATACCAATCACAAGCTCTTCATTTGGAAGAAAATAACGCATGAAACCCTGAACATTGACCGTTATGCGACAAGCGATCATTTTTCAAAAACGGAATCTTCTAGAAACGGATTATTTATTGAGCTTCTTATGTCAGATATTTTCGAGGACTTAATGCTAGAATATAGTGCTTATTCACCTCATAAGAGAATCTGAATAAAACCTGTAGTATAAACAGAGAAAATTACCGAAAGAAATATACATACATACACTATTACTGCTAATGACACATTCCAACAACTTTCAACGTGAAACAAGGGATATAATCAGTGCCATTTAATATCAAGGAAAGGTATGAGAATAATACACGTAGAGAATAATGAACATAGACATAACTAACTGTACAAAAAAGAGAGAGAAAAAAAAGATAATTTACTCCGTTCCCGCAACACACACGAATTTCACAACCGTCAGTCACTACTTTATAACTTAATATCTCCATAGAAATAAGATAAAATATATACAAATATAAACTACAAACTCTTTAACAAACGTTAAACACCCGTACTGAAATAAGTCTCCAAAATCGCAATAAGGAAGAGAAAGAAAAGGGATAATTAAAACAACAGGTTTGGTCGATTTT